CAACTAATTCATGTGAATCTTTTCACTCTAAATTTAATTCCCAATTTAGTTCTCCGCACCCAAATATATACAGTTTCTTGGATGTATTGTATGGTATTCAAGCGGATACTGAAATTATAATAAGAAGCTCCAATGTAGAAAGACCACACAAAAAAAAAATTCAAGAAAAAATACAATTTATAGACAGTCAAATTCAGAAATATGACAATGGTATAGTATCAAGATTTGAATATATAAAAATTCTTGCAAACAAATTTAAGCTTACTAAATTTTTATTGACTATTAAATGTAATATTTGTATTTTAAATTAGTTTTATGTATAGTTTAGATTATTTTCGAACAATTTTTATAACCAATGAATTTATAAAATATATGTCGAGGGAGCCAACTCAATGCATAAATCTTGGGAGCCAATTCAATACATAAAAATAATATCATTTACCTATGTTCGGGAGCCAAATCAATAGCTCCGATTTATAAGTATATTTTATGATATTTTTTACTATAACTTATAAGCAATACTAAAACAATAGGTCAAATACTTAAATTCACTTTTGTAGAAAACATTTTATGTATTGATTTTTCAATATTGTATAGGTACCTACTTGTATGTTTTTTAAAATTTTTTTTTGTGTCATCAAGTTTTCGGGAAGTAAAAATGCTTCGATTTTGTCCATAAAAAAATTATGAAATACTACGATTTTTACGCATGCCAATATTTTTAACAAAATTTATTATGTTTTTTGGGGTAACACAAAAATAAGTACCGTAGTGGCGTAGTACATGAAAGTAACCCGTTGGGGCGATACATCCATATCTCCCATAATATTCACTAAAAAATAAAAAAAGTGGATGTCGCTTAACTGTACACTGTACAAGTGGGTCACTGTAATGGATGGTGGTCAATTTGAATTCAATAATATATTATCATTGTACAAGAAAGACGATTCTGAGCGGCGAAAACGGTCTGTGAGCCTATGATATTACTAAGAATATTTGATGATATTATTGTGAATAAAGTAACTTATATATTTACCTATTGAAGTATAAAAGTTGAACATTTTATAAATTTTGTCAAAATTCGAACTTAAAGTACTTACTAAGAACTTATAGTATAAAGTACCTATTAATGAGATAGATCCAATATCGTACCCAAATTGTATGATATTTCGAATCCAGAAAATCTTTGGAGTGAAATGTTCAGCCATAACTTTTCCCTTAAACTACGAGATCTTGAGAGTTGGTTAATATTTCATTACAAGGGCTTGTCAAATAAATTTAAAATGTCAAATTTAAAAATAAAAAAATTAATCAACCTTTTCACCGTTATGAAAATAATGTTAACGTGATATGTTTGTGCACTGTCTAAAATACAATTTAATTTAAACCTATTGTAATAAAATAAATACATACAGTTAATAATACTCCAAAAACTAAATATCAAGAAAAATGAAAGTGTACCCATTTACATGCCGACCCTGACTTGTCAAGCGTTTTTTTTTCAAATTTATTTTATAAGTAAGTACTGAGAATTTTAATTTTAATATATAAAATTAACAGTAAGATTTAATTTACAATCAATAACTACTATGAAATTGTTTTTAAAAAATATGTTCTTTAACCTAGAAAGAGATAGATTTTTTAAAGAGTTCTTATATAGAAATATCACCAATAATATGAATAGGTTTGTGGAATAAATATACTATACATTATAATCACTCAATATATTTGAAATATTGTTTTAATTAGGAATCTATAGTTAAATATTCAAATATATAAATAATTCCATTGGTGGAAAAAATATTTTATAAAGGTGTTGTTAGTGGAAAACAAAAAAAGTTGAGCTTGAATCTTCAATAATTTTAACAAGAAGAAATTAAACGATTAGTCAGTACATGGGTTTACTTCAAATTGTAATATAAATTTGTTTTATGAACAACATAAAATAATTCTCCAATTTTATATTATAATCTACATATTATTAGTTTTTATAATAATTTTACTTTTTAGAAATACATGCAAAACTGAAAGAGAAGACACATCTAATATCAAGATAAAAACTGAAAGAGACGTTATGGAGGGATATCTATTTGAAGGAACACATCTTAACAAAGACCACTGTTCTGAACTCATGGGGTAAGACTTAAATTTACTTCATAGTGTTATATGACTTTACATATTTTAATTATACTGCCCATGGCAACTTGTTCAATTAAAATAGACACAAGTTAAGATCAAAGTTATTTTCTTAACTTGTAAAATTTACAAGTTAAAAATTGTTCTATAAAAAGAAAAAAAAAGGTGGGCAAGTGGGTGTCGCTCTGCTGTACAGTAGGTTACAAGTGGGTCATTGTATAATGGATGGTATTAAATTTGAATTCAATGATATAATATCATTGTATAAGAAAAACGATTCTGAGCGGAGACGGTATGTCCTTTTAGGTATAAGACATATTATATACATATCTATGGTATTAAAAAAAATTGACCTATAATGAATTCCAAATTAATCATATCACAATATCCATTAGGTACTTATAACGCGTTATACACCAACAACAAACCCTAATACTATCATAGATATATATAGTAGATTACTTTAGAAATTTCAAGTACCCACGAATAATATTATACAATCACAACAAAATAACTAAAATCGTAATTCTTGGTTTAAATATGAAATTTTGTCTAAATTTGAAATTAAAATGTCTGTAAAAAATAAGTGTGTTTATATATTTTTTAGATTTTTTGGTTACAGTATGAATTATTTAAGAGAATCTTTGTTTTAAATTTTCAACTCTTAGTTATAAAAACTGAACATTTTATAATTTTTTAATTCCAACGATTGATAATTTTCGAGATTTTGATAAATTTTGTCAAAATTCCAACTTTAAATGCTTATAAAAAAAAATCGTGCCTATGTATTTTTAATATTTTTCAACTGATATTGTAACAATATATCAGGAGCCTTGTATTAAATTTTTACACTTTTTGGCCCAACAGATAAAACTTTATTGATATTTATAGAAAAAAAAACTAAAAAAAATTGAAAGCTGTAAATGTCCATAAACAGCTCAAAAAGAGTCAAAATATTTTCAAAATTGTATGGTGTATAGGAAATGCTAATATAAACATTCAGTGAAATTTTCATGTATCTACAGTTATTCGTTTTTGAATTACAACAAAATAAGGAAATCGCTACATGAGAAATCGAGTGAAAATCCAATGTTGTAAAAATTTGAATTTCAAACGCTCATAAAAATTTAATTTGACTGTCCGGTAGAGATTTTTTTATTGATAAAGGTAGATAATCTTATAAGGAATCTTGTGTTTCATTTTCAAATCTTAGATTTAAAAAGAAAAATTTTTACGAATTCTTAACTCAAAATAATTTGCTAATTTTCGTGATTTTTCCATATTTTGTCAATTTTTGAACTTTAAATGCTTATAAAAAAAATTGTGACTAAGGATTTTTAATATTTTTCATCTGCCTTTGAAACAACATATTAGGAGCCTTCTATTAAATTTTCAAGCTTTCGCAACCAACAAATAAAATTTTATTGATATTTCTAGAAAAAAAACTAAAAAAAAATGAAAAATGAAAATGTCCCTAAACAGTTCAAAATAAATCAAAATATTTTGAAAATGTTATCGTGTATAGAAAATGCAAATATAAACAACCAGTGAAAATTTCATGTATCTACGGTCATTTGTTTTAAAGTTACACCAATAACCAAATTCGATTTTTTGGAAAATAGATTTTGCGTAAAAATTCCCGTTTTTCCTTAATTTTTATGTTGTTTTTCCCGGCGCTTGTGAAAACTACTGGAAAATGTTTACTTTTGACCCCCCAAAGTACCAACTAGATTCACTTTCCTATCAGAAAAGGTACTATTGAAGAAAATCGAAGCACTTTTACTGTCCTAAAACGTGATGACAGACACAAAAATATAAAAATATAAATAAAAATATAAAAATATAAAAACATACATCATTGTAAAACCAATACATTCATCGCTCCGCTCAGAATCTAAAATTGGGCAAGTAGGAAACCGCTCTGTTGTTCAGTAGGTATTTAGTTTACCTTGGCATTGAGTAGGTCACTAAAACATTGCATAATGCATATTATGAAAAATAATTCTGAACTGAGATGGTCTTGTTAGCTTGTATTAGTAAATATATTTTATTATAACATATTTTATTTAATTAATTATCGCCAATCCGGCAGTTATAAAGTTTGGTAATAATTTTCTAGTTACATAATTATAATGTGAATGTGTGTACAATTACAGTGTGTGTGAACAGCATTAGAAATAACAACAGTACTGGTGGTTTTAGAATGGTGTATAATAATTAATATTAAAATAACAATTTAACTTACAGGATATAATAAATAATAACAATATAAAAAATTCAGATTGACAAACCGTTTTCGCTCTGGATCGTTTTTCTTATACAATGATATTATATCATTGAATTCAACTTTAATACAATCCATTATACATTGACTCACTTGTAGCCTAATATACAGCAGAGTGACATCCACTTACCAGCTTTTTCAATTCTGATACTCTTGAAAACGAGCAAGTATTATAGAGTAACTAAGTCTCATAAGAATCGTTGTATTGACTAACTCTCAACAGATTGCATTCAGTTAAAATGTAATTTGTTAATACAATTTGTTTTGGAAATCATTGACATAGTTCAATAATAGTTTTTTTTGAAACTATCAAAAAGTTAATTACTTATTAAATTCGAATTATGATTTATGGTTGTACACCTACCATTTGGAGACATTCTATATATGAGAGAGTAGGGTCATATTTAGTAATTTTCGATACAGTATAGAGTTGGTAACAAACAATTAGGCCCAATCATAAAAAAATAGCTTTCACAAAAATCTGGGGTTAAATCGTAATTATACGTTTGAATAGGTAGGTATTTATAAAATATTTTATTAGGTTTGATATATTTTGAACATGGAAATTGGTTTATGAAATATGAGTGAAATACATACTAGTAGTTTTCTAATTTTAAAAAAAGTTAATCATTTTTTAAGAACTTTAATTAGAACTAAGCCAAACCTTGATACTGAAATGAAAATCGAAAAAGATTTTGTTGGCGGTTATGAATTTGAAGGAACAGTTTTTAGCGAAAGCAATTCTTCAGACCTCATTGATCGAATGAAACAGGTAAAATATTTAACTACTGTTCAAATTAATTATTGTTGTTTTTATTATGTATGTAATCAAATGTTTTTAGGTAACACTGCTGTACATAGCAACAAAGGAGAAGAGAAGAATACAGACAGTGATGATGGCAATGGTGAAACCGATGGGGACAGTAACAATAAAGACAAATATGATAACGGCAAAGAAAAACAAGAGAAACGCAATGTAACAAAATATTCAAATTCAAATGTTGGTTTAAACAATATATGGAGATACATACAAAACAAACATTTCCATGTAACTTTTGCTCTAGAACGTTCAATACAAAATTCCAAGAATCGAAGCACCAACAGCAACACGCCAGTCTAAAAAGATTTGAATGCGAGAAATGATATTCCAGATTCAACAACCATTCAAACCAACGTAAACACATCCGACAGCTTCATAATAAGGAACTAATCCTCTGAAATTTTTGCAATAAAACAGTCAATAGCAACCGGAATTCGGGATACCACAATAACAGAACACACTTTGGTGTGAATCCTTACAAATGTAATAAATGTAATGCTGCCTTTCCTTCACCCCAAGAAAAATGTCTACATTCCAAAAATTGCAAATTTCTTGTAAATGTATTTTGAAAACAAAAAAAATTATGTTATAAATTATCTTATGATTTTGAATATTTTTTGTAAACCCTTTATTGACCAAGTATCAATAATTAAAGTATCTTTTAAGTTTTTTTTTCATAGTTTAGACTAGTGGCTTAAAAAGTTTTTTTTTACCTGTTTTTAAATGAATTTTTAAGGAGTCTACTTTTGAGAAGGTCCAAAATGATATGAAGCCCGCCCTGACCGACAGGAATCCAGGTCTTTGTCAAGCCTCTGAAGAAGCCTCTCTAGCAGCTTGCCCAGAATGTCCAGGAGGTAGATGGGGTGGAAGCTAGAGGGAGCTTCGACTGGTTTGCCAGGACCCTTGTGCAATAGGACCAGCTTTGCCTTTTTCTAGATGGAGGGAAATGTAAGAGCCTTGAGACACTTATTGTAGATTTTCAGAGTGGCTCCAGGGTGTACCACGACGATTCTCTTCAATATTTCGTTTGGTATGCCTGCCGGGCCCCCCGCCTTACCGGCAGACATTTTCTGGGTGGCCTTAGTCAGCTCATCTATGGTGAACTCAGGGGTTCCCCTGTTGAATATCAGCTCATCTGCATCGGGATCGAAGTTGTCAAAGATGTTCCTAAACTTTTTCATGACTAGCTTGTAGGGCTGACCCCAGACCAGCATGATTAATGTCAACTTGTGCGTAAAGATCCCTCCACCCTTGTTCCTTGGATTTTCGGATTTCTCTCCTTAGATCTCTCCTTTCTGAAGTGAAATTGGCCTTCGCCTCAGCAGCTCGTTCTGGTCCGTGCCTTCTGAGACGAAACTTGTAGGTCCTGAGTAGGGAGAGGGCCGTTGATCTGAGTTCCACTATTTGATTAGGCCTCCAGTACATTGGCTTCCTCCCCCTAGGACTTGGGGTCCTCAGGGGCATCGAAGAGTCGCAGGCTGCTCTGACCGCAGCGTTTCTGCCCTCGCCGTCGCGTCTCAGGGTGAGGGGCCTCGAGGTGACGTGATGGTGGAAAGTTTCGAGGTCGAGCTTCTTGATGGCCCATCCGGGGTGCGTCGAAGTGAGGCCATCCTTTTTCTCTAATTTTTACTATTTGTAGCTTAAAATTTAAACGAAGGGCCTGAATGAATAAAAGTTGTACAAAAAGCCAAGGGCCAAGGGGCACCTGGCACACCCTGTGCGCACGCCTATGATTATTATGCTATATTTCCAAACTTAACATTTTGTTAATATCTATTGTGCCTGTTAATTATACATTGTATTTAAAATTTTTTTATACATGATTATTATACAATGAATGTGGGTACCCAGACAGGGTTGGAAGTTGAACAACACTACTTATGTTAAAGATTGGAATTAACAAGTTAAAAAGTTAATTTATTTTATTTTATTATCTATATTTTATAATTGATGGACTATCACATATACATAAACATTTTAATTGTTTATATTTCTATCTTTGACAATAGATTAACCCTTTACTTACAGGTAGGTATATAAAACTGCAATTTTTAAAACTAATTAATTAAATCACTACTGCTAGTGTGTCAGAAGACGGAATATTAGATTTTTTTTTATCTGAGAAAACAAAATATTTAGTCATTATATTTTAAAAAAAATTTAAATTTTCACTATCACTATATATGTGACATAATAATATGTGTTAATTAAAAACTAATTAACTTCTGTTTAACTGAGTTAAGTTATTTTTTTTTCATATTAGCTTAAACTCTTATAGTTTTTAGAAATTTAGTTCCAGAAATAGTAAAATGTGGTCTCATGAAAGAATTGTCATCAGTTCTATTCACCGTCTTGTAATAGATAATGCTCGTAGTTTATTGTTTGATGTTGACAATAATTACTGTGAGCAATTTAACAGCGTCAGCAATAAATATATTGCTGGTAAACGTATTAATTTCACTCAAAAGCAATCATACAACATTAGGGTTCATTCAGATATTGTATCATATAATTCGGGAGGTCAATTTATTCGTGAGATCCGTAAAAAAATTACTGATAAAAGTCCAGGTACCTATTATATTTTGTAAACAATGTAGTTAAAACCATTTTAGAATATTTTGAAGTTTTCTTTAAGCTTTTTTTATATACTATTAAAAAAATCATGATCAAAATTTATTTAAAAAAATTGGATAAATCAGAATGACATTAAAATTGTAGTTTTATTTGAACTTACATTTGTGAAAACAAATAATTTAACTATTTTAATTTAGGAAAAATTGGGAAAAAAATTTAAAATATACCAAAGACAAAAGGAAAAGCCTGGAAAATCGAAGAGCTCTGTTTTCATCAAATGGTGATAAATATAAAAAAAAAATCATTTCAAATGGGCCAGATGAAAATTATGGGTTGAACCATTAAATTACTTTTCATCCGACGATAAATTTCAAATAAAAAAAGCTTGAATTTATTAAGTCGATAACTCTTTCAGAGGCATCTAAATAAGAATTAGAAACTAGGAACCAAGCAAAAAATCAAAGGGGGTTTGAGGAACGAAGAAAGCGATTTTCGGGGTCAAATTTTGGTAGGGTGTGAAAATTAGACCTTACACCTCATGTAAAGTTACTGTGTATGATATACATTATGGTTGTATAAACACCAGTGCTACAGAATATGGAATCCAAACTGAAGAACAAGCACTTGTAGATCTTGAAATGGAAATCCAAAAAAATATTAAAAGGTGTGGTCTATTTGTCGATAGAAATATTCCGTATTTAGCAGCAACTCCAGGTGAGATTGCTTATTATTAATTTTATGATGGGAGTTTAATTTAATGTTATGAAAAATAATAAACATTATTTTAAGTCTCTGTGAATACATATTATATTATTATATATTTATATATACCTTGGAAATACATCAGTTTGATCTACACTATTGAGCTTTGGATATATAACTAAATATATACATATTTTTCAATTGCAGATGGTTTAATAAAGGACGATAAAATATGTGAAATAAAATGTTCTTAGTCTGTTAAAGGTTACTGTAGTTTAGAAAAAGCTATTTTGGACAAAAAGGTAATCAATATTAATTAATTAAAACTTAAATAATTAATGGATTAAAATAATATGAATATATTTTTTGAAAATAACTTAAATGAATACAGTCGTATCTACAAATATTAATTATTATTTATTACATAATAGATGTGTAAGACCAATATTGTGTTGTATTGATATCGTTTATTTCCGTTCCGGCTTCCTTATATGAAAATTAAAAATAATGTAAAAACTTTGAAAGAAGAAAGTCATTATTTTTACCAGATTCAAGGACAATTTCATGTGACTGGGGGTAAAATTTGTTATTTTTATATATACACTCCAAAATGGAGTCACTTTTAAGTAATAAAATATAATGACGAATTTTGGACGTTAAAAATGGAACCTAATCTAAAGTTGTAAGTTGTACAGTATTATTCTCAAATCAATAGTCTATACTCTATTGAATACACATTAATAATAGGTATTACCTATTAGTCTATATTTTGTTTATATAATATTTGTAACGGAGTAGCCATCACCACATAAAAACGATCCTTTTCAGGACCACCAATCAGCGGACAGTATGCTAGCACAAGCCACACACACTAACGTTAGGGACAATAACTAAGCCCCAAGTAACAGCACAACAAAAAACAATAAGAGTTACATATAGGGGAGAGTCAGACGAATCAAACGACACCCTCCCCAAGTCAATAACCCCAAAATTGAATAAACCACAGGACTTCCCGTACAACTAGTAAACACTACTATACACGGCGGCAGCGAATAGTTTACTAGTCGGTACGGCAGACTGCTTATATACCGGACATTTCCACACCACCGACACAGTCTTCAATATCTCTTCATACCTTCAACAACTACAACAAGTTGATCAAGTTCTCCAATCAGTTTAACACCAAACGGTCATAATCGGTCACATCAATTGTCTGCCACGGCTCACACTGATTCATGGATTTCAGCCACTACGCTCACTTTCGTAAGTAGAAACTTATTTAAATCATCCCCCCCACTCTCGACCTCGAGGCAAGTGCACCCTAGACGTCACACGGCCGGGTCTCGCCCGGAGCGAAATCAACCCTGCAGCACGCTGAACATGGGGGGTCACCGACGTATCAGAAAACTCGTCGCCACTCCTCCAACGCAAGTCTCGAAGAAAAACCGAACATCTCCTCCACCTAAAACTAATTCCGTCTCATCTAATTCCGCCTGCTCCGAAGACAGCTGGAGCAATAGCGAAACTCAGCCCTCGCGTTCCCCCTCACCGGGACTTAACATGAACAACATACCCAAACCAACCCTACCATCATCATCTGCTACTTCCACTTCTCTCGACCCCGTCGCTGACATCAACCAACGCCCTCCAAAAGTTCCTCCTATTTTCCTTCCAGGCTCCGCCTGGCGCAATGTGGCTCCTAAACTTATGTCCGCAGTTCCAGCCGACGGCATTCTAGCCAAGGCCTGTGATAATAATTCCATTAAACTACAATGTGTCGACATAGATCTCTTCAGAATTGTTCAAAAATACTTACACAAGAACAATATAGATTTTCATACCATCCCGTCCCCCACCGAACGGACAATCAAAATTGTCATCCGCGGGCTGCTTCCTGACATCACCGAACACGAGGTGTCAGACGAACTGAAATCAAAGGGCTACGATGTCACCACCGTACGCCAATTCGGGAACACCTCCCGCAAATTTCCTCTTCACTTGGTCATTCTTGCCGCCACCCCTTCCAGCAAACAAATTTACAACGAAACTTCTCTCTTCTTTATGGCCATTAAAATCGAAGCCTTCAAATCCAACAACCCTGCCCAATGCTTCTCCTGCCAACGTTTCGGCCATTCCAGCCTTCACTGTGGCTACGCACCAAGATGCGTCAAATGCGCTGGAGGCCACCTAGCCAAAGAATGTCCCAAGTCCAGAGATGAAACACCTAAGTGTGCTAACTGCAGTGGCGCCCATACCGCCAACTACAAAAGCTGTCCTTCGCTGACCCAAGAGAAGGACAAAAGACGACCTGTCAGACCTAACACCTTCACAACTGCTGATCAAACCTCCACACCAATCAGTGCTCTACCTGTCGCTCCCACAAGCCAGAAATCATCTCTCCAGTCTCTCCCGGTAAATTTCATCACATACGCTTCTAAAACGTCCAATAACAGCCAACCCAAGAATACTGTCCCTGACTCAATAGCAGCCGAGCTCACTACCATCATCTCAAATCTTGCATCCAATAATATGAAGGTTAAAGATGCCCTCATTTATTTCTTTGCTTACTATTCTACCACTACTTCTCAACCTCCAAAATGAGTAACACCCGCATACTATTTTGGAACTGTCAAGGCGTCACTCGGAGGCGCCTTGAACTCATTGATTTCATCCATCAACAAAAAATCGACATCCTGTTACTCAACGAGATTCATCTCACCGGCCAACGTTCAATCAACATCCCCAACTACTTCACCTACACATCTAATCGTCCCCAAGTCCCCGGCCACTCAGCCGGAGGTGGCACTGCAATTCTCGTTCACAGACGGTACACTCATCAACATGTCGCCATATCAACTTCATCTCTAGAGAACACGACTGTTCACATTCAAGTCAACAATACTGTCCTTCGTCTCGTAGCCATCTACAAAAGACCAGCCAACATCCTTTTACCAGCCGATCTCACCGCCCTTCTGGACACTCCTCACAACACCATTGTAGCAGGCGACCTCAACAGCAAGCACCAACTCTGGTTCAGCCGCAGGCCCAACGCGGCCGGAAGCGTTCTGGCTCACTTCATCAACTCCAGAAACGATCTTGCTGTAGCTGCTCCAGTCACCCCAACGCACTATCCGAATAACTCCAATCACAGTCCAGACATACTAGACATCGCTATTATTAAATCCAACAACATCCAGTATCACATCGAAAACTTATCTTCAGACCTCTCTTCCGACCACACTCCGATCGTTCTGGAACTCCACTCTACTTCAGCATCTATGAATCCTCCTGAGCCTACACATGAAGTTGACTGGGCCGCTTTCCAGTCATACATGGAATCTGTCAGTCACTCTCCTTCCATCGGTTCCACCACCAACTCCATCGACTCAGCCATCAAGAACCTCACAACCCTCATGTCAAATGGCATCGTATGCAGCACATCCTCGATCGTGCACTCCGATCACTCTAGGGTTCTTCCCAAAAAGCTGCAGCTCGAAATCGACCTCAAGCGACGCCTAAGATCTCGCTGGTAGAGAACCAGAGATCCAGGTCTCAAAACCACATTGAACCGCCAAATCACCAAAGTCAAAGATCTCATGGCTGAACACCGCAACAACAAATGGAACAACCTCCTTGGATCCCTCAACGAAGGCTCAAACGCGTGGACACGCTTCTACAGGCTAAACCGGGCCCTCATACGAAAACCTCTACCTTCCCGCCCTCTCAAGGATGCATCGGGCAACACCATCTTTGACCCCAAGTCAAAAGCCGATCTGCTGGCCGACTCCTTGGAAACTCAATTTCGGTCCCCTCTTGGAAACGTCATCACAGACTCTTTGGTCCACGATAAACTGACACATCAGCGAACTATTCCGTCCACCTCCACTTCGTTCTTCTCTCCTGCAGAAGTCTGGAACGTTATCAAATCGCTCCCCAGTCGTCGCGCCCCTGGGCCTGATGGCATCAGCAACTGTGCGCTCAAAAACTGTGGACGCAAAACCATAACATATTTATGTCCAATATTCAACTGGTGCAAACGACTCAACTACTTCCCACTGCCGTGGAAACATGCCACAGTCATCACTATTCCGAAGCCTGGCAAGGACTTATCCAACCCTGTCAACCATCGTCCAATTTCTCTGCTTAACACGATGTCAAAAGTCCTGGAGAAACTTTTGCTCATCAGACTCAAAACCCATACCTCCTCCAAAATTCGACCCGATCAACATGGCTTCAGAACTTCTCACAGCACATCAACTCAACTTCTAAGAGTCATCGACGGCATCTCCCTAAATCTCAACCTAAGAAAAAAGACCGCAGAAATTCTCCTCGATGTAGAAAAGGCATTTGACAAGGTTTGGCATGACGGCCTCATCAGCAAACTGATCGACCTCGCTGTGCCCAACGACCTCATTGCCATCATCAGTTCTTTTCTCACTGACAGAAGCTTCCATATTAAAATCGAAGGAAAAAACTCCACGACTCGCAGAATTCTAGCAGGTGTGCCTCAAGGCTCATGTCTTGCTCCACACCTGTTCTGCCTATATATCAATGACATGCCAGCTCACCCTAAATGCCGTACGGCACTCTTTGCGGATGACACTCTTTTTTATGCCACCAGCAATTCCAACGACGCTGCCACCAAACTACTACAACTTCAGCTCAACATCACTGAAAAATGGTTTCACGACTGGCGCATCACGGTTAACCCTCTCAAAACATCAGCGATAATGTTCTCTCATAGATCCACTGCCACTTCCATCCAGCCTAAACTCAAAAATATAAGCATTGAGTGGTCACACTCAATGAAGTATCTTGGCGTCCACGTGGATAAAAAACTAAACTTTTCAAAACACGTCACCACCGCTATCAACAAGGCAAAATCTGTTAAACACTCACTATACCCTTTACTATCCAGCCCTAGTCTCACCATCAACACCAAATGCTTTATATACAAAACCTACATCCGCCCCATAGCCACATATGCCTCTCACATCTGGGCCTCCAATCTATCAGCCAGCAGCTGGTCAAAGCTCGAAAGGCTTCAATCAACCTCTCTCCGCCAAATATCTGACCAACCGTGGTTCGTCAACAACAAGGCAATCCGTCACTCCACTAACATTCTACCCATCATGGACCATATAAATCAACTCACCAACTCCGTCAAAACTCAAATCATCAACTCTCCACACAACCATATCTCTGAAATCAGCACAAGAAGACCTACCTCCCAACTTTTCACAAAACGTCCAATTAACTTCTAACTTCACCTCATTTCGTAAGCCCAAGCGCACAATCCATACAAAATTCACTCCATAAATCATTCACACTGGCAGAAGCGCTAGCTTGTTACAGTGCAAAACATTTAAAGTAAAGTCACCATCGACACAGTCTTCAATATCTCTTCATACCTTCAACAACTACAACAAAACGAAGAAACGAAGACCCGAAGACTCGAAGACCCGAAGACCCGAAGACCCGAAGACCCGAAGACCCGAAGACCATCCAGCACAGCGATCCAGCTGAAACTACTAATTACACCGATACGGCGGCGAATACGTTCAACATCCGAGGCGGCAATCGACAAGCGCTGCGTTCCTGACCACCGCTACGAACGAAACCATCGACACAGCGACGAATACACTCGTTGTACGGGGCAGCAATCGACGACCACGACGTATCCGTATTACGCCACGGACAACATCATCACCGTAGCGGCGAAGCGCCTATTGTACGACGCGGCAACCGACGAGTGGCATACTCCCATTCACACCACGGACGGAATCATACGCACCGCGGCGAAGATACTCGTCATACGAGGCGGCAATCGACGGGCATACAGTTCCTGATTACCCCGTCGTCGACATAATAATATCGGCGAACACGCAAATCATCATCAGCGTTACGAACGCGTCCACGGTCGATCTATCAAAACGGTTCTTATCAGAACCAACAATCTAACCACCCACCCTCAGTGTGCCTGCTAAGGCATCACTGCGAGGCGTTATTACTCGAACACGACTTACCAAAGCCCGTGGGAGAGTGATTCCAACTCAATTCATTCATTGTTATATAATTACTCTTATATGAAGTTATAAATCCCCGACATTTGTAAATCACTTCGCACCTCTACAGGTCCGATACCGCCCGTTGCGACTCGCTTCTTTAAGCCAGTCGCTCGGCCCGGAAATTAAATACCTTCCCTTAAATATATAATATAATATATCTCAATAAATAAACGAAATTGTACATATAATATAGACACGCGTGCAATTATTTACGACCACGGGACGTCGGGAATCGACGGACCGTATCATATTACTTTATTTACATTTTACAATTACATAAAAACTTGTTTTATTTTAGATTTTACGAATAGTGCTTATTAAGAGAATTAATTGACTCTCAATTCAGTAAACGCTTATTAAAAAGTGATATAATTGAACCTCCACATATTGTTCAAAATATTGAACAATTCAAGAAAAAAAAACCCAATAATATTTGTTATGTAAATAAGAAAAATAAATACAATTATTTCTAAACTATTTTTCTTTATAAATTATCAATAATTATAGGTAACAATTTAAAAAAAAATGTATAAATCTACACTCCACTTCTTAGTCACTAGTAAGTTATCCTATTACAAATTATGACAGCGGTAGTTGAAACTACTATAGTACGCGAGGCGAAAAGTGAGCCGCGATCGTCACGCGCCAAGCGGTCAAAAAATGTATTATAATATGTATTAATCGTGTTATTTGTATTTTATGTATTACTTGTGTTATTTGTATTTTATTTTTATTTTTTATTATAATTTATTAAAAAAATCTACATTACGTTTTAATACATAAAATACAAATAACACGATTAATACATATTATAATACATTTTTTGACCGCTTGGCGCGCGACGATCGCGGCTCACTTTTCGCCTCGCGTACTATAGTAGCTGTATATCCAATTATTTGTGCAGAACTAAATATTAAAGTACCAAACTAGTAAGTAATAACAATAAGCGTAGACATATTAATAAATGGACTGCGTCCCCCACTCACCCCACCTATGTCACCGTGAGACCAACGTTGTTAGAAAGAGATCAAAGATATTATACATGAATGTGAAAGAGATAGAGCATATTTTAAGAAAATCATAGATCAAAAAATTAGATATCATGGAATGACAAGCAAAATTTGGAGGTGATAACATAAAAATTTCTTGTAATTACCACGGACTAAGATAGTATGGACTGGAAACGAACGCCAAATCACAGGACCGCTTAAGGTTAGGAGTAGGCTTGTGCGGGGTGAAATGGGGCAAGTACGATTCGCACTCTATCTATGTTTATAAAAGAGAACCATAAATGTCTACTTTTTGAATTTTCCCTCCAATGTATATTATTGTAATTATTATTTATTTACGTGTTTATTATTCATCACAATATTTGACTTGGTTTTAGTACATAGTAGTATAGTACTATCTTAGTCCGTGATTACTGATTTTGTTTAATTATTACATACCTTTTTACATCAAAATTTAATTTTTCTATTCATACTTTAAAAGTTGCAAAATGGCACCAAGACGTAAAGTACGTAAATGTTCAATTAATGAATGTGAAAGTCGTGAAGATCAGACAAATGTTACATTATTCAAAGTATACGAAAGTAACAATAAGCAAAAGAAGCATGGGAATCAGCAGTAGGTACATAATACAGTAAACAATCAATTACAATTATTAAACTACATTTGTTCTAAACACTTTGCACCTGAAGATGTCATTACTAACTATTCACAAACACCATCTGATGTAGTTATGCCGGAGGTAAATTATAATATATAAGCACAAAGCTAGTGAGTGATATAGTGGATATACCCAATCCCCATCTTGTTTTTAATCAAATAGGGGGAAATAATTTATATAAATTTAATTTTTATACATGATTCAAACACCTAATAGAATGTCAGTACTTGAAGTTTTTTTTTTTTAAAGGGATATCATAAAAGAACATTGTTCAAATTGAAAAAAGGATCTATTCCATTTGTATTTGATCAAACAAATATCTCTCAACCTTTATCAACAGCAGAGTCAGCTTGTGAATCACCAATTCACCCATCTGAAGTAATTATGCCGAATGTAAATTATAAAATATAAGCACTAATCTTGTTGGTGATATAGTAGATAATTATTATACCCTCTGGTTTTCACTAAAATAAAGTGAAATAATTTATGTAGTTTTAATTAGGTACCTAATAGGAATGTGAGTACCTACTTAAGAGGACGCCACACGGGCAAAAATACCGTACAAAAAGATGCCAATTTTGTTCCAATAATACGGCTTACTGAATGGTTTTAGAGCAAAATACCTTTATTAAAAGTTGTAGAGGAGAGTTATATCGGGTGCGTGTCGAGACTCGATTTTTGATATTTTAATTTTTTATACCAATTATTCACATGTAAAAAAGTGAAAAAAAGTGAAAACGCAAAACGATTTTATCGATTTTGAGAACGAAATATCAAAAATCGAGTCTCGACAAGCACCCGATATAACTCTCCTCTACAACTTTTAATAAAGGTATTTTGCTCTAAAACCATTCAGTAAGCCGTATTATTGGAACAAAATTGGCATGTTTTACAGAAAAAAAATGTAATTGCGGCCGTCATGTGCTGCTGTCGTTTCTAGCGGCAGCGTTTGTCCCCTCCTAGCTCTGACATCCAGGCGCGCTCGCCGCCGGCAGGTCAAAACCGGTCTGTTATCGGCGGTCCGCGCTTCGCCCGTCGTTGCATTATTTTCATATTATTATTATTTACGTGAAATAAAACAAAATAAAATTATGCTCGATTTATTACGATGCCCGCAACCGTCCTTACATTACCGAATTGCCGTGACAGCCGCGGCTGTGAGAAAAAACTTATTTTTTTAGTTCCAAAAACACGGCTAACTGTTTTAGAGCAAAAAACCTATTATAAAAGTTATAGAGGAGAGTTAAATCTGTTGAAATATAGGACTAGATTTTTGATATTTTAATTTATTATAGCAATTATTCACAAATCAAAAAAGTGAAAACAAAAAACAAAAAATGCAAAACGATTTTATGGATTTTGAAAATGAAATATCGAAAATCGAGTCCTATACGTAATATAAAACATCTATAAAAACCTCTTCAAAAACATTTAAACATAATTTCTAAATAATATATATTATTTATTGTGTTAAAAATATAAGAATTAATAAAAATTAAAACTTATCTCATCAAATAATTAATGTATTAGATACCGTTACAACACAACTATACAAATTAGTAATTACTTTAAAAGTTTAAAAGTAACAAATAAATTTAAATTTATAAAGGTGATTTATTTCAATACAATTATGCATATTATACGTTTGATTATTTGAACAATTTTATTAAAGTATGTTATAAAATAAAATATATTTATACAAAAACATTTATACAATATATAAGTGTAGAAAAAAGTAAGATAAACAAAATACATACATAGGTACTAATTATTGACTTCCGAAAAAATAATATAAATGTTGTGAATTTTATTTGACAATTATATAATAATATATAATATAATATAATAATACATAATATTAGGTATATAAATATGTCTAAGAAACTTTGCTAAATTAATTTTAAGAACTTGGAGGATTATAACTTAAATTAATGTTTTCTATGGTTGATTTTTTTGCTTTCCTATTTAAATAATATTTTGCTATAAAATATAATAAGAACACTATTATTATGATAACTAAATATTTGTTTGTGTATATAAATTCATATGTTTTATCTACAATAAGCGAATTTAGTAACATATCTTGTTGGTCTAATTGTTTATTTATTTTATTGAACGCTTCTTTATTAAATTTAATATTTTTTATTTCATCGTAGTGAATCGGTTTGGGATAGGCCTGATTTGAAAAATTGAATACATTACAGCATGAATCATTCGTAAGAGATAAGTCTACTGGAACTGAGAAATATGATGTTTGATTTAATACTTGTTCAGTTTTTAGTACACCTTTCGAGGTGTAAGCAATACACCCAGACTTCAAGTATAACTTTCCAGAACTTTTAATTTTAATTTTTTGAGTGAAAGACTGTTTATTACAAATTATAGTAATTGTAGTGGGTTTTTCACATACAAAAAACCAATGATTTTTGAAAAATGAGGGATACCACATTTCTGTTTTGAATTCAGAGATATAAGTATCACATTGAGGTGGTTTAGTTACAGAATTTTTTAGTAATTCTGTTACACATGTGGGGTCCGTGTCACAATTATTATGTATAATTTCATTAAATCCACAAACAAATATTTTATCCACTACTTTACAGTTATTTAAATCTGGCCAAATAAAATATTTGGTCATTATTTTGTCCATTAACAAATACATAGAATTTTTAGTCATATGGAGAAATTGGCCATGTTCATTTATTGGAATGTAAATCGGTAAAATGTAATAAACGTTGAAATTTTCTATAAGGCAAAGAGGAAATTTTAAAGAAAAAATAAATCTGTCATTTACTGTGTGCATTTCAATACTTAATATTTTGAATATTTCTTGAATATTATCCTCATCAAATTTAACAGGGATTTTCAAATCATCCGGAAGAATAGTCTGAATATTTTTTATTTCTGATAGCAATTGGTCGGGTGTTATTATAAACGCATCTACTATATTGTTCTGTACGTTAGAAATTACTCTTTGCAACCTACTTATAAACATGTCCAATTCAAATATAGAGTTTTCTAAAAGAGTTATCGAACTCAGAGTAATAATTTTTCTGTCTTCCTTAGCTATCTCAATGATCATTTCGTTCACTTTTTTCTCGCCTGCTTTCATATTTGAATCAAAAATTTTCTTATTTTCATTAAATGATGTAACAGAATCGTTAAAATTAATTATTGTGCTTTTTAATATAGATATCTGATCATGAACAATACGCATTACATTTTTCTCATTGTTTTCTAATTTATCGATCGAACTATCATATCTTCGTACATCGTCAGCATCAGCTATTCCATACATCCATTTGAATACCGTACCCCCAAACTCAATAGATCGCTTAACTTTTTTGTTATGTCTACCCATTTGTACAATTAAACCTATCTCGTTTTCCAATCTATTCGCGTGTTTTTTTAACTGATACAAAGTTATATATATATCTTTGAACTCAATTAGTTCAATTGATTTTAACATTTCCCTAATATTTTTAAGACTGTTATTTAAAAATTTTAAATCCATATATGTATTTATTGTCCAACTACTTCCGCAAGCTCTACCATTACCTATGAGTTCATACTGCAAACCCGGGCTATCGCTGGTTGGTGTTAATTTAAAAAAATCTTCCTCATAGTTACCAAACGTGGTAGAAATTTGTATGGTGAATAACAACAGCAGCATTTGATAAATGACCTTCTTAAAGTCCATTTTTTTTACTTTTTATCTTCTGTGTCCAATAATTATATTTGACGTACTATGACCATATATCTACAACAATAAGATAAAGCAAATTTAGATCATGTATAATTAGTATGAACAAATAATGATAATGCAACAATATCAAAAACACTAAGGTCATAAATTGAATTTTTTTAAATATAAAATTTCATTTAATAATATGAAAATATTGTTGCTTTTTTTTATATTTTTCAGTATATTTGGCTTTGTTTGTTTAACTTAACAAAAATTAAATTTATTTATAGAAAACACCCCCAAGGAAAAACCTAGAAAATCTAGGTATAAGTATATAGAGAGTCACCAATTTCTATAAATCAGGCCCCAATTGTGGGATCGACATGTATAACAATTAATATTGAAATCAGAGTTGGGCATCATCATTCGAATACAATTTTATTTAGATAATATTGTATTCGAATAAAAAATTATTCAAATTATTATTTCACAATCATTCGAATAATTCAAAATAATATTATTCGAATAATTCGAAAACAATATTATTTGAATAACAAATGATTCGACTAATTTTCAAACATAGTTAAATAATTTTCAGTTATTTTATCTTAGTTAACATAATATGGACATATGGTTAATATTTTGGTAATTAAAACATTTACGTATTAAAAAACAATAGTTAGCATTGTATTTTAAGTTTACGAAGTTAAGTTTTCATTTAAATCTTCTTTTATTTGAAATAAATAGAAAAATACTATAAATGAAACAAATATAGAACTATCTAAAGAATTCGAATATATTTGTATTTTGTATTAGCATGTTTGTAAATTATTCAATTACATTTTTATTCGAATAATTGTAAAAAAAAATCATTCTAATTGTCATATTTGAAAATTATTCGAATAATATTGTTTACAAATTATTCAAATAATTTTTTATTCGAATAATTATCTAGATAATATTTTGTTCAACTCTGATTGAAGACTAAAATTAATTAAAAATTGAAATTTAAAAAAAAAATTGGTAAATAAAATCAATTTTCTTACCCGTTTCAATGTTTGAATTTCGCTTGACGAATGTCAAACGTCGAATACCAAAGTCCGTCGATCTTTTGACTTATATATTTATAAGAACAAATTCAAAAAACTATTCAAATAAACACGGAAAATAAATGATTGTCAAAACACTGTATATAACTTACAACAAAATCGTTTCCTATCTCGAAGGCTTGCATTCGATGGTGTACTCTGAAGTACTGGTCAGTAAAATGTATTCGATAACGCGCGGGATATTGAATATTGTTTGTTACATGCAATGATATTATTATTATATTATAATTGATATTATATAGAGACTAATTATATTTTATTATAATGAGTATATTATTTTGATAAATTTTTATTTTTCTAAATTATTAACTTTTTAATGCGTTTGATAATGACCAAATGTCAATATAATATTAATGACAAATGCAATTCTAGCTGTCAGATACTTTTATCTAATAATATAATATCAATTAATATAATTACTTACATTTGGACGTTTGAACTTATAATTTAAAAATGATTATATCATGGTATTTCATCTTTATCGTAAAGATATCGTAAATAATTATAATATATACCTAATTATCGTACAATTAAGGAATTAAAAACATCAACATAATATATTATGAGTACCTAACGCATTTTATCAAACAAATTACAAATTCTAGTTCAGTTTCTATTCGACTACTATTGTGTTCTATATACAATATATCTAAATATATTGATTTTACTCGTTTAGTTTAGAAGTATTTAAAGTTAGCGTGCGTGTGTTTTATTCCGTTTAAAAAAAAAATCGTTGTTTCTTTATTGTATGAAAATGGTTTTGCAAAATATTTTTTTGCTATCAAATCGCTCAGCTTTAAACTTAAAAGAAGCTATTAAATTACTTAAAAAACCAAATTTAAACAGTGATAACCTAGTACAGTGTTATAACTTGGAACCAACACCAGGCTTGTGGTATATGTGTGCGTACAATCAAAGTTCTACTGACGGCATTGAATGGAAATCAACAGGCACTCGTTCAATGCCTAATGAAAAAAATCCCACCGTACTGGTCGAATACTTTTCATCCGAAAAAGTGAATAAAAGTGTATTTAGATTAACGAAGAAAAACGAATATGACGCTACTTTGATTAACTATTCAGATGTGAACCCTACATTTGCGAAATTAAAAAGAACACATAGAACACCTATTTCTAAAAAAAAATCCATCAACAATATTATGAAACGTCTCAAACTAATAAAAAAAGATAGTAACCCTGTTTCTATTGTTTCTAATGAACTAATTGAACATGAACCCGAAGAAAAACATGTCAGGTAGGTACAACAAACATTATGAATTGTTTTTCTTAAAATTGTATTGTGCCTAAATTGATATTTTTTTTTCAAGCAACAATTTTGGATCATATTTAGGATATGATGGTTCCCTTCCAGGAGGTTCTACCTTTGTTCAGCCTACAGCCCAAATAGTACAATCTGCTCCGTGTGCTCCGACTTTATCACAATTCAAGTAAGTACCTACGTCCTTCTGATTTTACGCACTTCTAATATCAACATTGTGTCATCGCACATTTACTTATAGCGTCGAATTTAACGTTTTTAAACACCGTGGTACGACATATATTACGTTACTTAACTTCTTTTTGATCTTTAAGATTTAAAACACTGATTTTTTTAGAATTGAAAATAATGGAAAAAAATATGTAAGGGAGTAAGCATAAAAAATAAAAATGTTGTTTTTATAATTATTAGATAGGCGTAGTAGGAATGTAGAATAACACAAATTTTATAATGTTTCTATAGCCAACCCGTCGCAGCTTCGCCCATGATTGGTTTGTATTCAAATAACAGACTGACTACCGATATACATTTTAAAATAAATATAGTATAATATCGTATTTTAGTTGTAGCCAATAAAGTTTTATATTTTCGTTATAGTGACTATACTGTCTATATTATAATAAAAATGTATACCGATTTTTTTTTTTAGGGATTTAAATATTTCACCAATTATTGACTCTAAATACATACAATCACCAAACAAAGAGTTTATTCCTAAGAAAAAGTAAGTGTCTAGGTACTACCTATTACCTATTATCTTGTAGGCTAGTCAATATATTTTCATTGTGATATACACTGCCAAATGGATCAGTATAGAAGAAATATACTTTGATCAATCATTTTGGGATTCTAAAATGTCTGAACCGCTACAAACGTGAGTCCTTTTTTTTTAATAATTTGTACACTGAGTAATTAGATAATCTTTCACACGAATACACGATTACTAGTGAATCATGATTTATCTATTTTACCTATAATATATTTATATTATAATTTATCTATTTTATTAACATATTATATTTTATACTTTAAGGTTTTATATGAAGTCTTTATTACCCGAAATTATTGATCCACAATTCCCTAAAAGAATGCTGAAATCAGATATTCGAGAACCAGACCACATAAAAAAAAAATGATTATAAAAAAAATTAATAAAATATTTGAATATAATTTAGACAAGTTGAATGGTTTTTTATTTTTTACTTTCTTAGATTGCAACTCAGTAAGTGTAAATCAAATTCAAGTAGTTTATTTATGGCTGATTAAAATGTAAGAAGAGTTATACCGGGTGACGTATAAGACTCGATTTTCAATATTTCATTCTCAAAATCGATAAAATCGTTTTGCGTTTTCAGTTATTTTCACTTTTTTACTTATGAATAATTGGTATAAAAAAATTAAAATATCAAAAATCGAGTCTTGTACGTCACCCGATATAACTCCTCTACAACTTTTAATTAAGGTATTTTGCTCTAAAACCATTTACTTAGCCGTATTATTGGAACAAAATTGGAATGTTTTTGTACTGTATTTTCGTTGGTTTAGCGTCCTCAATGTTATATTATTGTCATTGAATAATAAAAATAATAATATTTATTATAATCAACGGTATTATGGTAATACATTCGAAAATATTAGTAAGTATAAAAATTAAATACATAATTGGTATGTCTATATTGATATTTTTACAAACTAAATGTAAATCGTAAGTTATTGTACGTAAAATATTGTTAACTCGAATACTTAAAATGTTTGTACAACAATTTGTACGGTAAAAACTAGATTTTCTAGCCAACATAATATTATTATATACAAATATAGGTATAAAATTGGGCTGACAGCGGCTTTAATTAAAAGATGGTTAGTGTGGGTATAAGAGCGAATATGGTGGCAATGCATTTACGTGTATGAATTTTATTTCGACGGAATATGTCACGGACGAACGTTCATAAGATAATAAACAACGCTCCCGAACTCAACAACTCGTCGGTCGGTACGCGGCTGTGAGTAGTGGGCGTGGCTTAAACGTCGCGTGCTTGCGGATCACGAAAACACCTAACAGCGCATTCTCTTGGTCATTGCATGGTTTCGTTTGCCCGTGTGGCGTCCTCTTAATGTTTTTGAAAAATGTGAGACGTTATTTTATTAGTTTTTACTGTTTTGTTGTCTTCGCGTTGCCGTGTTGTAAGTAGGTACGTCGTCGTAATGTGTGCCCTCGCCGTCGTCGACATCGTGTTGCCGTCTTATTAAAACGTCGCGTTTGCGCCATCGCCGCTACCGACGTTCACGGCGTGTCGCCGTCTTATTAATCACGTCGTGTGTGCGCCATCGCCGCTACCGACATTCACGGCTTGTCGCCGCGTGTAAGGTACGTCATCGTAATGTGCGCCCTCGCCGTCGTCGACATCGTGTTGCCGTCTTATTAAAACGTCGCGTTTGCGCCATCGCCGCTACCGACGTTCACGGCCCGTCGCAGCTTTACCCGCGTCGCGTGTGCGCCATTTGCCGCCACTGGCGTCCACGGCCGTCGCCGTTGTATATTACCAATTCGCGTGTGTGCCACTCGTTGCCACCGACATCTCGTCTACGCCGTCGCCGTCACCGTCACCGTCGTCGTGGTAATTGGCATTGTGTCTTTTCGGTTGACGCCCCCTCGTTGCGTCTTCATGAATTACATCGTCGGACATCGTCAGGCCATCCAGGGATAAATCCGGTGATGTTCATTGTTTACTTAAGTCATTAATAAAAATATCAATGTCTGTAAAATTTATTTTGTTAATATAGTCTTATATTTAAGGACCCCCCCGTCCCGTTATCTGTACATTTAGTAATAATCTTTAGATTCAATACAGTCCACTAAAATTATAATATCCGAGTCTTTTTCCTAATAAACTCATCCACCACCATGTAATTATCCGGCGTTTCAGGTTGCCGGAAATATCCCGCGCCATTCACGTGCCATCAGGGAAAGCCGCAGCCACACATTTGGTCCTTCGGGCCGGATATAAGTACCCTCCACAACCCTTTTACCACGATAATGACTCTGGGGAGCGCAGAAAAGGAACGCGCGGAGCGACTGCTTAAGGTACGCGTCCATAGGTACGCATCGTACGTATCGGACGAATCGTATGAAACGGATCATTTTGTGGTAGTGCGTCCACTGTATCCGTAGCGATCGGATTGCCGATGCGACGGTCGTATTTTTAAATTAACATTCGCATTTTCGTTGCGAGTGAACGATCAGAAACATTACACAATCCAGTATTACAGTGTGTGTACCTAATAGACAACATGGAAAGTGATGAAGAACTTGTCATTATTACTTTGTTATTAGATGAAGAAGAAAGTAGAGGAAATAAGAGAAAACATAGAATGTGGATACATGACATATTCAAAAAAAGGTCACAATTTGGAGAATATCATACACTGTTTACTGATTTGCTCAACGACGATGTAAAATTCTTCCAGTATTTTCGTATGTCTCATGCCAAATTCACAACTCTTCTTGACATCTTACGTCCTCATATATTAAGACAGAATACAACATACAGAGAGGCCATAGAACCAGAACAAAAACTTGCTGTGTGTTTAAGGTATGTATTAAAAACAATTAGTTTTAAATATTAAAAAATATAATTATTGGGTAGGTATTAAATATTAAGTAGATACATCGTTTCAAACGCAATGTGAAAAACAATACGATTCAATTTTTAACCAATTTGCTTTTTATTTTAGTTGAGTCAGTTTTTTACAATGTGATACAAAACAAAGTTATTCCGATACATTATTTATATTATTATAAGGAAATTTTAAAAATTGACTTAGATATTGATTATCTTGATCCTGCGTATAAGAAAATTCGTTTGTGGAAGGTGAAGGCGTCATAATGACATTTGAATTAGGCAAAGGAGACATAACGGAACTTGAATTAGATATAGGAGACATCGATGCATTAGAATTAGGTGACGGAGTCATAATTACATTTGAATCAGGTGAAGGAGACATCGTTACAGGTGACGGGCAATGAATATGCAGAGTTTCGTTCATGGTAGGTGAAAAATACATTGTCCTATTTGAAGTTTGTTTTGAAGTAGACGGTGTAGAAAACCTTGAATAATTTGATGGTGGCGGAGGCATCGTTACGTTGGAAACAGAAGTTGGTGAAGTTAACGCGAGTCTCATCTCTACATTGTTAACCATTTGAAACAATTGCGCCTTAATATGAACTTGATCTCGAATAGGAAAAGTCTTGACTGTTTTTGCCATATTTATAAAAAATTCAACCATAGGATCACTCTGAATGCTGTTGAGTTGTTCTTTTTTTGATAAATATTCCTGAAGGACGTTAGCTGCAGTTGGTTGTTGTGGTGTTACAAACTTCGATTTCCTACCAACAGTTCGTGATGATAACAATGACGATGTTGGTTGTGACTCTTGTGTATCACTTGATTCATTTACTGTATCACTATCTAAATTATTTAGATTACGTGATATTTCAAGCTCTTCTTCATCACCGTTACTATCATCACCAATAGGTGGCGATAGGTTTGAAAGTCTCTCTTCCTCGTCATTCAAATACGGAGTGAGGAAAGTGAGCTCTTTATAGTATTTGGGAGGCTTCAGTTTTGATGCTGCTTGGCCGCTTTTGGTTTTGCGCAGATTCAAAGCCTTCCTATGGTTGTCTCTAGTTCTGGTCCATCTCTCCTTGCATGCATTACCTGTAATGCATTACAATGAATCAATATTTTTAGATTATGATCGAGGCGATTAACGATGTGTTGATTTTACGACGTGTTTGTTTTATATTCTGTACGAAGTGGTGAATGTATTAATTTTGCAATACAAAACCAATTTTGGTTTTTGGTGTAACTTTCAAAAAATGACCTTACAATGTAGATACATAAAAAAACAAAATAAACACACATCATTGTAAAATCAATACATTCATCACTTAATTCAGAACCTAAAAATTATAAAATGTTCAGTTTTAAGGATACGCGTATATTAGACTATTTATTTATAGGTAGGGTAAAGTGTACAGTTATTGGCACTACGAAAGTATTTTATTTTTAATTAATGAGCATTTTGACTTTTAAATGATTTTTTTTTTTATATATCTGGCTAAACTGATCATGTCGTGTAATCAAGTGTTCCCGCCGATAATAATATATCGTTAATTTAGTTATTCCTAACCACAATAGATTACTACATATTGTGATCAAATAAAATGTTGTGAATTTTAGAATGAGTTACCTAATTGAAGCAAATAGGTGGTGGTTAAATAATAAATTATAAAATAACTTTACAACACAATTAATTAGTTCATTAGTTATTTTATTAAGAATTATAAACTAAATATGTATATTTTTCTATAGTTAGGTCGTTAGGTGTAGTTTAAACTTTGTTTGGTGCTTATATATGTGTTTTCTAATTATTATTTATTATACCATTTATACCTAAGTAGTAGTAACTATCTATCTAAAATATAGTATAAGTAGGTAGTTTTATTTATTAATTTAATCAAATGAATCAATAAAACTATTAAATTACATACATAATTTATGAGGATGCCAATAACAGAAATTATAAAACCAATAACACAATTTTAGGTGCCAATAACTATAATTTTCAGTTATTTTATACTTGATGGTAAATAAAAAAAAAAGTATTTAATATTTATATTTAATAATCATTAAGTAAAATTGATAACAATTTTCTAAATCATTGAAAATGATAATACAAGTTTTAACTATGTTTAAGTCTGAAATATCATGGAATCAAATGTACACTTTTCTAAAGAGTGCCAATAACTGTATACTTTACCCTATTTGAGTATATAGAATAATATTAACCTTGTTTCGGTTGCCCTTACTTTTGTTTCAGGTTTTTGGCCACTGGGAACTCTTTTCGTTCAATTTCATTTTCCTTTAGGCTAGGTGAACGCACAGTACGAAGAATCGTTTACTCAACCTGCGAAGCCATATCCCAGTTTCTACAGCCACTAGTAATGCCTAAACCATCTGAAGAAGTATGGAGAGAATCGGAAAAAGGTTTTCGTGAAAAATGGAATTTTCCTAACGCGATTGCTGCCATTGATGGGAAACACGTGTTGATACAGGCACCACCGCACAGTGGATCAAATTATTTTTGTTATAAAAAACACTTTAGTACGGTGCTATTAGCCTTAGTGGATGCAAATTATAAATTCATAGTCGTAGATATTGGGGCTTTTGGTAAAAACTCTGATGCTAGCATTTTGCGAAATTCTAATTTGGGTAAAGGCTTACAGAATGGAACTCTAAATATACCTTCACCAAAAATACTACCCGGGGGCAGTGACGTATTACCTCACGTCATAATTGGTGATGAAGCTTTCCCATTATGCACGAATTTGATGCGACCATACTCACGCGACGATGCACAAAGAAACGAAGAAAAAAAAGTGTTTAACTATCGGTTGAGTCGTGCTAGAAACACTGTGGAAAATACGTTTGGAATATTGGCACGGAAATTTAGAATTTTCGAACGTAAGTTGTCTATGTCTCAAGAACACATTGTGAGTGTTGTAATGGCTACATGTTGCTTGCACAACTTTCTAAGAAATGACACGTGTCACTGGACAGAAAATGATTTGAATATTTCTATTTCCAACATGAGAGGACTGCAAGACTTAAGAAATATAGGTGGAAATTCGAAAACAGATGCTTTAGCAGTTAGGGATGGTTTCAAAAGTTATTTTAATTCAGCAGCAGGGTCAGTAGAATGGCAATTAAGGAGAGTTCGAGCTGGAAGGAGGTTCACGTGACTCTATGATACAGTGATTAACTAAACATTTTGTACCTAAATAACTTTATTTTACTAACTAATTATATTGTAATATGAATAAACTTACCAGTTTGATTTAATCTCTTTCCAATTTCTTCCCAAATGTTGTCTCGTCTTTGTTGATTCGAGTAATTAGGGTGTTTTAAATTGTACAACTCTTCGTACTCTTGTACAATTGTTATTAGCCTTGCGATGTCCATAATATGCGTAATAATAATTATAATTTAAATAATAAATATATTATAATTAAAACACGTGTGTACTGAGTGTCGAAATACAACAGAATTAAAATGATCAGTGTGGCGACCAGTGACGACCCGTTGTGACACGCGTCCACTTATCGGCAATCCGTATGACGTCATCCGCACCAGTCGGAAAAGTTGCCCCTTCGATCAATTTCGTCGGCATTACCGACGGACCGATACGTGCGATCCGTCCGCTGCCGGCCAGTGGACGCATATGTATAACTTACTATACTAATAATTCTAAAATCCGTTTCATACGATCCGTACGATACGTACGATGCGTACCTATGGACGCGTACCTTTAAACGTACAATCGCAAAACGCGACTCGTTAGTGTCACAAATGCAATTTTTTTTTGATTTAGCTAAAAAGTTGGAAGTGAATAGTGAGGTCCTTCCATTGTTCCGCGCTCGTAAAAAAGACATCGGTTCTCTTCGTACACAATTTAATGTTGAGCAGGATGCTATTTTTGACATACTCATACAACTCCTACGCGAAGAAGAGTATGACAACGTTCATGTGCCCATTGCGAACAGCATGTCGGAACTTTATTATAGTATTATGGCTATCGCTGACGCCGTTCTTGATGAGCCGCCTACGTCCTCTTCCACGATCGAATCCAACATTAACAGTAGCTCAAACATACAACTTCCAAAGATTGACTTACCAAAATTTGACGGAATTCTAATTAACTGGATCTCATTTCGGGACACTTTTATTTCTTTGGTACACGACAACTTAAATATGGGAAAGTTAGAAAAATTCCATTATTTATTAATTTGTGTGTCCGGATCAGCGCTTACTGTCGTCAAGGCCATACCTTTATCTGCTGCTAATTATGACATTGCATGGGAGGCTCTGATTGACCGTTATGATAATCAGCGCTTACTTGCTACTGCCCATTTAGAGAAGTTATTTTCCTTTCGTCCAATTAGTACGGAGTCTCTTTCTTCACTTTCAGCGTTTGTGAGCACTTTTCAAGAGAACATCGCCGCAATCAAAGTTCTCGGAGTGAACGATCTTGCGGGATTTATGTTATTTTTTATCGGTTCTCGAGCGTTAGACCCCGTCACCCGTAATCTTTTTGAGAGTACTGTGTCTCAAGATTCCATTCCCGTATTTGATGTATTGCTTAAATTCGTACAACAGCGGTGTAAGGTATTGGAAAATATTAGAAGTTCGGAAAAATTGGTTACCCACTCAACAAAAATCAAGAACAACCCAAGTTCTCGTGCGGCGTTGACTATTGCTAACGCGAATGCTACTTCGCCGGGTACCTTTTCTGAGCTTAATCAAGGACGAAAGTTTCAACGCAGTTGTGCGTATTGCAAACAGGATCATGCCATTTATCGATGTCAAGCGTTCTCGAAACTTACGGTAGTCAAACGACGTGAATTTGTATCGTCAAATAAACTTTGCATCTCATGCATGAATCCCTCACACTCGGTGTCAGTCTGCGCGTCAAAGTATAACTGCAAGACTTGTGGTGAACGTCACAACACCCTTCTGCATTTAAAATCCGAAAACAAGCATTCTCAGCCTGGTCCGTCGTCGAATCATGTGATCACAACGAATCAGTCCGATTCCATCGAACCAAAAACTCAGTTTGTTGGCACGTCTTACACTAATAATACTGTCGTTCTCGGGACGGCTTGTGTCCGTATTCAGGATCGCTGCGGTAGCTATCACTCAGTGAGAGTATTATTAGACAGTGGATCACAGATATCAGCCATAACTTCTGAGTGTGCCAACCGTATCGGCTTGGGTCGTCAAAAATGTCGCACGGAGATATCAGGCCTAGGCCAGAATCAAGTCATACCAGTCAAGGGTCGAACTGAATGCTCGTTCATTCCAGGTCAATCCATGGAACCAGTTATCAGTTGCAAGGAAGTGTTGGTCCTTCCACGAATTACTTCATTCATGCCAGCCAGACCTTTACCATTAAGTGTACGTGCGCAGTATCAAAACCTCCAACTCGCGGATCCGGACTTTGATAGACCTGCCCGGATCGATATGCTTCTTGGTTGCGATGTTTTTCCTTATTTAATTCGCCCTTGTTCGAAAATCATACATTCAGATAGCTTACCGTCAGCGTTAGATACATATCTTGGTTGGGTTTTAGTTGGTACAGTGGTCAATTCTTCATCAAACGATAATTTGGCTTCATCCAATTCTTTATCGATCACGTTAAATCCATCTCTGGATACATTGCTGCACCGATTTTGGTCCGTCGAAGAGCCTGCAACGCCATCTATCCCTACCACAGAGTACGAACTTTGTGAAAAATGGTTTAAGCAGACTGTATCGCGGAACTCGTCGGGTAGGTTTTACGTTGCATTACCCTTCCGAGACGTCGTCTTTGCCGAGACAGGTTCACAACCTGTCACTACCGTCTCCGACTTGTCGTCCTCCCATGGGCTCGGCTCCTCACGATCGATGGCCCTCAAACGGTTATTTAATTTGGAACAACGACTGAGTAAAGACCAGGCTCTATACGATGCTTACCGGTCATTCATGGACGAATACTTGTCATTGGGCCATATGAAGATTGCGACACGACCAGGAAAGTATTTCATACCTCATCATGCGGTAATGAAACGTGATGGTGATGTATCGAAGTTACGAGTTGTCTTAGACGCGTCGGCCAAATCATCCTCCGGTACTTCTCTTAACGATTCCTTATGCATTGGACCAAAATTGTAAACGGAGATAGGTGAATTACTACTGACTTGCCGCTTATACAAATTCATCTTCATTGCCGACATTGTCAAGATGTATCGACAGATTTCTGTTCGGGATGAAGATTGTATTTATCAACACATTTTTGTGGCGTCGGTCACCAGACCATGAGGTACAAGAGTTCGAATTACTGACAGTTACCTACGGACTCAATTCTGCACCGTTCCTTGCGATACGTGTATTGCATGCCTTGGATGCTGTCTCCGAACCGCAATTTCCCGCTGCAAAGGGAATTCTTAAACACCACACATATGTGGACGACATACTTGTTGGCAGCAATACAGAGGAATTATTCAGCATGAAGGAAGATATCGTTGGTCAATTTTATTTAGAATAGAGATACCTACCTACTAATAGTTAATAAAAATAAATTAAAAATAAAAATGTGTTTATTTTATTGTTAGAATAATGTTGACGAAGAAATGGTAGATAATCCTGGTAGTAATAAAGAAAATAATGCAAATCAATTGCCCTCCACTTCCACCTCTCAAACTCCATTAACACCAGTAAACTTTGAAGCTTTAAATGTTAGGAAAAGAAAACAAACAGATATTGCACAGTATGTTCCCAAGAAAATGACATTAGATACACAAAAAAAAATCGATGATGCCCTCTTGAAAATGTTCACTAAAGATTTTCAACCCTTTAAAATGGTTGAAGATGAGGGATTTAAAAATGTTGTACATTTATTAAATACGTCATATAAAATCCCAAATCGTCATACATTATCTAAGGTTAGCATACCGGCATTATACCAAAAATGTCTAAATGAAACTAAAGAAATGGTAGCGACTGAAGCTGTAAGTGGTTGTATAACAACTGATTGTTGGACGTCTCGGAATAATGCAGGTTATATAGCAATTACATTCCATTTCATTGACAGTTGCTTTAAACTGAAATCCGTATTGTTGAGCTGCCACGAATTCTCAGATAATCATACCAGCCTAAATTTGAGTACAAAAATTAAATCAATCTTAGTAGATTGGGATTTAGAGGGCAAAATTATATTTGCCGTTTCAGACAATGCAAGTAACATACAGTTGGCATTAACTAAGTTGGAGCTCAAACATTTTGGCTGTTTTGCTCATACCTTGAATTTGATTGTACAAGCAGCGCTACGTACACAATCAGAACTGCTGGATAAAGTTAAAGCGATAGTAACTTATTTTCGTAAGAGTACATCTGCAAATAAAAAATTTAATGTTTATCAAACAAGTAATGGTGCCAAAGAGCCTAAAAAGCTTCTACAAGGTGTTAGTACCCGATGGAATTCCACTTTTTATATGCCCGAGCGTTTTGTTGAGCTTGAAACTTCTATTCGGGGAACACTCGGGCTTCTTGACAATTCACCAAAAGGATTAACTTCAGACGAGTGGAAAGTAATCAAAGAGCTTATTCATATTCTACGTCCTTTTGAAGAAGCAACTAAGGCTGTTAGTGGTGGTAATTATATGACAGCTTCTATAGTTATTGTTATAGCACAGGGGCTAATAAATGTTTATGAACAACTGCAGAAACAGAATTATACATTAAGGGTCAATGATGTAATAAAAAATATATTAAGTGGGATGAAAGAAAGAGATCGATGGGGAAATATTGAAAAGAGTAAAACCTTGGCCCGCTGTACGTTTCTCGATCCTAGATTTAAAGATGTTCCATTTAGTGAAGTATTGCAACAGACAACCAAAACCGAAATCATCCAGTTAACTACAGCCATAATATCATCAAGTGGGACTGGGTTATCCGAGGAGCAATCAATTCCAAATGATTCAACCGAACCTAAAAATAATTATTCAATTTGGAGTACCGTTGATACTAAAGTGGCCCAAAAGAAACCTGTTGGCACAAATACATCTAGGGCAATAATAGAAGTACAGTGGTATTTGGAAGACTCACTGCAACAAAGAAATGCAGATCCTTTGGAATGGTGGCAAGAAAATAATCATAATTACCCATATTTAAGCCAGTTAGCTAGGAAAACACTCTGTTGTCTTTTCACATCAGTGCCTTGTGAACTCGTGTTTTCAAAATCTGGGTTATTGATTAGTGATCGGCGTACTAGATTAAGCAGTAATAAAGTAGAGATGCTCATGTTTCTTAACCAAAATACCTAATTATAGTATTAAAGTACCTAATTTAACTTATTAATTATTATATTATTATTTATGTATTTATATTTATACCTTTTATGAATTATTCAATCATTGTATCTGTATTTTGTATTACTGTATGACTAACCATAAATAATATGTGTATTATGTGACTAAACTTGATATTATACTAATATTATCATTTAAGTTTATCATTTTACCATCACTTGATATTTATTATTTATTATTGATAACAGGATAACATAACAGAATTCTGTTATTCTGTGATAGCAGTTACTGCTATTTAGTAGCTGCTATTTTTCTGATTTTCTGTAATAATACTGCCAACTATGTCAGACGTCAGTGCAGCCTGCACGCTAAAAGTAAATAATGTATAAACATAAAATAGCAAACTAAATAGCAGTCTGCGATTGCTATTGTAAAATAGCAGTGCTATTATAGCAGCTATTGCTATTTCTTACCATCACTATCCTGTACCGCATCACCCGCCCGCCATGTCGTTTCCAGTCCATACTATCTTAGTCCGTACTAATTATCAATTTTTGTTATCTACCTAAATGGTTTTAAATTGATTATAAAGTTTTTTACTCCATGATATGTAATTTGTTCTTTTATGACCATCTTAAGTTGTATGCTATTTCTTTCTAACAATGTTGGTATACGAACCTCTCTTTCTACGATCAGTCCATTTATTAATATGTCTATGACAATAAGTATAGTCTTATATAGTATAAGATCCGCTAGGGGCGCTGACGGCACTCCGCGTTTCTTCCATGACGATCAATAATAATACTTCCCGCGCGTTCGATATTCCTTTTCGTTATCGACGACGATTAACGTGAATATTTTCGAATATTATATTATTTCCCGAGTTATTCCGTATTTCTATATATTATAAAAATTGTGATATTTCCGTGTGTAATATAATATGTAAAACGCAAAATTCAGAAACAGTTCAAGTGCTCGAGATTCAAAAATTCAAAAAACTATTTTTTTTTTCAATTTTTTCTTCGCATTACTACTACTTAATAATTGTTTTTATATCACCGTTTTAAACCTATCTTCTAAAATGTTATGTTTTAATATAAATTGTAAATGTAATAATTTTTAATTTTATTATCGTACCTAAGCAAATTTTATATTTACTAGCTGCCTGTCTAAGTCGATTCCGGGCGACTTTTTTCGTGTACGGTTTGCCGTCTAAACACTAATTCCGGTGCAATCGGTGCATTATTTTTCCCAGCGGTTAAACAAATTTCTAGACCGTGCATGACCTAGTACCTTGTAGGCATCGCGGCAAGAAATGAATACTGTGCTCCGATTGGTACCCGAAAAAATCAGTGTGACCACATATGCTAACACTCAGATATTGTTTGTGCATCAATATTTCCCCCCTCATTTTTTTGTTTATTCATTGAGATGAGGGTCACAAAATGGTCGCATAGCGATATGAAGACTGTACAGCTACAGCCTTGATTTGGTTATGACGTCTGAATAACGCCGTGTCCAACGTTAATGCGCTCGATGCGTCGAAAAACAATTATTTATTATGTATTTCGCCGCATCGGACAGATCATCCACAATTGGAACAGCAATTGAAATCGCAACCACTCGCCGGATTTAAGTTGGACACGGCGTAATTCGGAGTTCAGACTGTCTGATATAACATTTGAATATTTCTCGATATTTACAGCCAGTTACTGACTACCGAGCCGTTCATTTATTGTAAGTACTTAAAATAATAAATATAATAATATTGGGTATAATTGCAGTGTAGTTCACCCTCGCCATTTTGAATTTTTTTTTATCGAAACTTATGTAACTTATCGAGACATCGAGTTAAGAACGATGGTGCAATCATTTGTCGCTCACACTTAGTTTCGAAGTTATGGCCTTCCAAAGTTTTCGATTTTACGTTTATATACGCATTGCACGCAACACTACTATAATGCCGCGCGGAGGCCCTCGAGTTATATATATATATACTTATTTTATTTTAAGTGGCCATCGAGTCCACTTGGGGAGGTGTTGTATAGCAAATCGTGGGATATTTTCGTTTTCGATTGTCCGAGCGAGCGAGTGATCCCGCTCGGTGACTTGGTGCAACCAAAACGGTCCTCCGGTCGACATTTTTGTAGTGTTGCGGGCATGCGTATAAAAGTAAAATTGTATTAGATACATCGAATTATCATTTTCAGTGGTCGGGAGTAGTGCACTAATCGTAGCGTCACTACAATACACCTAATGTACAATGTTTGGAATAGATCACTAATAATTTATTAGATAAAGATAAATGTAACAGTACTAAATTGTATCTAGATAAAGATAAAAATAATTATACTAAATTTTATCTAGATATAAGCTAAAAATTAATACTTTTTTATCTAGATAAATTTCAGATAATTTCATGTTTAATATTGAAAATATTCAGTGATATAGGTATTCATTTTTAAAATAAAACATTAAAAATAAATTAGTTTATTTTTTAAATATATAATATGAAAAGACATTCTCTGACTTAATTTAATAATAATACAAAGAAGCTACTAGCTAACATTTAAAAAAAAAATAATAATAAATGCTTTTAAAATCATAATAATATTCGAACCATATTTGATCTACAACATAAAATTATTTTTAAAGTTCTATCATTTAACCTATTACGCGTAGGTATTAAAACTTTTACTGCCTGGCCCTGGACTGGTGGCCGTAAAATTATATTTTCTTCAGTTTTGGCATGCTGATACAGTATCAGTAAAAATAAGTAAATTGGTCAGTAATGGGATAAAAATATTGATTTTTAGCTAATATTTTATTCTAAATACTTTTAAAGTTTTAACCTTTGTCAACAGAATTCCTGTACTTTAAAGATGTCGAAAAATCCTTTTGTGAACTGTTAGTTATGTAAACGAAGAAAGATCAGAGTCCCAATTACCAAACCTAAAAAGAAATATTATGTGTTTACATACAATGGTACGATATGATGAAGCGCACAGTAATAACCCTACTAAATGGATTTGAAAAATGTGCTTAAGATGCGCGTTGAGAGAAGAGGCCGTTACTAACCGTTTGACCAATAAATTGCAGTGGTCAATATAACCAAGCTATACCCCCCAAACTAACGAAAAAGTAATATTTCAGTCTTATTTTTATATTAATTATTTTCAAACTAATGTAAAAAGTTAATTTATTTTTATTTTGTTCAGAAATGAAGACACTCGTTACATTTGTCAATTGTCAGTACCAGTGGCGTACCCAGGATTTTAGAACTGTGGGTCTGCCTTACTTACGAGAGGCCACTGTGTAGAAACTTCAACCAACTACCTATATAGTTAGGTATTACAAAGTCACTCTGGGCTCACGATTTACCTTATTAGTTATTTACATCACATTTTGATACCAACGTTCAATATAACTATATCACATATTTTTAAGTAAATTGTAAAATTTACTTACAAGCTTTAATAGCTATATTTAATTTATTTTTATTTTTATTTGTTGCATTAAAATTTATATTCAATTAAAAAATTTACCTGACATATTTAAATCATTAGAAGAAATTATACAAATTTATTATTTTATTTGTATACGTATATTTGCAGTATATTTATTTTATTTTAGTTTTCAATGACTGATTTCATTTTCACAAGAGATATAGAATAGGTGGTTCTAAATTCTAATACAATAGAAAAGTCAAAAATAATACATTAATAAAATTTATATTTAATAATACCTACATGAAAATAATAGTAAAGAACTAGAATATTACAATCATTTTCTGCGCTTTTTCATTAGTGCGAATTATGTACTATATTATGTACTAATTATGTTAACAAAATCAATGGTTTGAGCTATGTTGCTTTCTATGCTCAATATGGCCAAATTTGATAGCTGGTCTTCAGTCATAGTTGAGCTAAGGCATGTTTTGAGAAGTTTTAGAACGCTAAAACTTCTTTCTGCAGTTGCACTGCTGACTGGTATAGTGTATAAAAAATTTTATACAAAGTATATAAATTTGGATATGAAGAAACCATGTCTCGTGATATCATGAATTTTCAATACATCATTTAATTTTAAAGGTCCAGTTACTCCAGTTTCAATAGTTTTGCCATTTGTTGGTAAACTAGATGTAATGAACGGTATTCCACTTCTATATCAATTTCATCTATGTCAACTTCATAAAATCTTATATAATATCTATATCCAACATATTTTTATACTTGTGTTTATCGAATTTTAGGTACGTACATTATAAGTTGATAAGCTTAAACACGATTTCGTACGCGTTATTTTACTTCAATACTCAGTCTTCACAGCTGTATATACGATATACCCCTATATCATAATAGCAGATCTTCGATATTTTGAAGGGGGGGCACATATAAATTGTATAATTTTAATTTTAATTAATAATAGGTACATACACACTATCAATAATGATTATAATAAGTAATAATTAATAGTTGGTAGTATTATCCTTATCAACTGTATGTTTCATTTATATGATACTCGTAGTTACATAACAACTTGTCGACAGAAAATTGACAAGGGGAACGTGCCTCTCCTCTAAATTCACCACTGTACATAATTTTTTCAAATAAAAAAATGTTTATATAGTTTGCCATTTCGAGGGGCCACATTTAACTGGGAAAACAACTGTGGGTCAGCTGACCTCCCAAACCCCCCCCTGGGTCCGCCCCTGGTCAGTACCTACTGTAACAACTTATTTTAAAGGCGTGTTACGTTAAAGAAGGACTTGGAACCATATGAAAACACATCTAGCAGAACTATCTGACAATGAAGTTGAAGATGCTCCTTTAATAACAGAACATGCAAATTACGGTAATGACAAACTTGAGGAGAAAAATCCATTCAATAACATTTGATTTATTTGTATTTTTTTAAATTTTATTTTAGATATTATTTCCGCATATATATATATATATATATATAAATAACAAATACGAATATATTTATAGAAACTTAAATATTTAGCAGACAGTAGCCTTTAATTAATAGATCACTTTCTAGTTTCTGTCTATTATAATTATTTCTATAGACGCCACTGATACTAATAAGGCTCTTCTGTCAATACGCATTTCAAGCACATTTTACAAACCCATTTGGAAAGATAATCACTGTGCAATTCTTCATGCGGTATCATTGAATGTGGACAACATAAAATAACTTTTTGGGTTTGATGGTTGGGGTCTGATCTTTCTTCGTTCACAGTTCACAAAAGGATTTAAAAATTAAACTATTTTATTTTTAATGTTAAAATTATGTATTGTTTTAAAAATGATACATCAATTATTATTATTATTATTTTAAAAGCATTTATTATTATTATTTTTTTTCTTTTTTAATGTCAGCTAGAAGCTTCTTTGTATTATTATTATTAAATTAAGTCAGAGAATGACTTCATATTATGTATTAAAAAAATAAATTTTTTTATTTTTAATGTTTTAAGTTGTGTATTTTTTTACATTTTGTTAACTTTTTAACATCATTTTTGATAATAATTAATAAAAAAATAATACTAGATGAACTTTAACTTTTTCGTTAGCTTAGGTGGAGCTCGGTTAGATTGTCCACTGCAATTGGTCAAATGGTTTCAACAGCTTCTTCGCTCAATATAAATTTCAAGCACATCTTACAAACCCATTTAGTAGGATTATCGCTGTGCAATCCATCATATCTTACCATAGTATGTGGGCAAAATAGTTTATACTTTATCTTTAAGTTTTTTGGTCGGGATTTTGATCTTTCTTGGTTTAGCAACTTACAATTCACAAATGGATTTTTGTACAACTTTAAAATACAGGAATTCTGTTGACAAAAGTTAAAACTTTAAAAGTATTTAGAACATAGAGTATATAGAGGCGCCCTAATTGAAATAATATGAAGCGGAAATGGAAACAAAACAGTGTAGGCAAACTATAGAAAATATTTTATTGTATATGAACTATAATACAATATGTATTGTAATTTAATTATATTACTCATTATTATTAATAAACTAGTTGGATACCTACTACAAAATAATAATAATAAAATATAGACAAATAATAATAATGCACATAAATGTATATTAAATAATAAATTTATATAGGTTGAACAAATAAGAAAATTATAGTAGTAATGATAATCAATACATAATATTATTGCCCTTTAAACAAAATCATCTTATTGTACCAGTGCCTTAAAGATAAATTTTCACTTGTTTTTTTACAATTATATTTTATTTTTATATCACAATAAACAGAAATTACTGATTTTATTAAAAGAATAAGGTGACTAGATAAGGGCTCATTGTCATATTGATGATTTAATAAAGTTTTGAAAGGGGTATTAGTTGTAAAAGAAGATAATGTTTTGTTAAATATTTGAAGTTTACTATGATCTGGAAATTGTTTCATTATATTTTCTGTTTTTAAACATATAATAATAACATCATCAGAAGGGTAATATAATTTTTCTCCACGATCTTTAAGAGCTATTAGAGAGTTTAAATGACATTGTTTAGATCCAACCAGTGCAGTAGCACACATTTCACACTTTATTTGTATGAGTAATTTTTTTACAACAAACCCAGAAATATAAATAACACACTCATTAACAAATTGATTGAAATTAAAGTGGTTATTTGTATATAAATAATCATGATCTAAAATATTAATATCATCATTAGTTTCAGGTTTTAAATGTTCATCATATATTCCATTAAATGTTGTATCATTTATTATATCTATGGGATTCTTCTTAGAAGTAGAAACACAATTTAAAATCATGATATTCTCAACAGGAATACAATTTCCCAAAGCACTGTCACGAACTTCAGACCTTATTAAAATTTTTTTAAATGCACTTTTAAATTGTCTAGCAGTCGTGTTGTTGTTACAACCACCAAGAGATCTTATAGATCCGAAAAAAATTTCTAAATGGTCTTGACTCAATCTGTACATTGGTAAACTTTCAATACAGTTATTATCTATCAACTGTGTTTTTAAATTCATTAAGCTATTAAAGCATATTAAGAAACCCAAAAAACCAGTTTTTCTTTGTGAATTCAAAAGAAGTTCTCCATTTGGATATTTTAAACCTTCGAAATATGAAAAAATATTATTTTTTAAATCTTCAATTTCACAATAGTTTAATTTACAAAGCGCTTTTTTTTTGCCAGTAGACTTGACATTTCTTGAATTAAGTACATCAAAAGCATCGTTAATAATTCTTATAAAACGTATAGTACAATCACAATCTTCAAAATCTTTTAAATTCAAATTGTTCTTACAGAAAAATAATGCATCAGCAACTGACTTACTTAAAAGTTGAGTAGCCAATTTTACTTTCATTTTCATTTTGGAAAAAAAGACATGCTGATTTTTTAACTTGTTGGCCAAATGAAAATGTTCTGTTTCTTGAAGTATTAAAAGTTTTTCAATAAAAACAAAATCTATTTTTTTTCCTTCAAAATCAATAAAAACTCTTTTTTCCCCAAATGTGTTTCTGATTAGTTTGATCATGTGAGCAGGATCTGGTATTATATTAATTGGTAAATGATTTGGTAATGTAAAATTAGTCTTTAAGCTAGATATTCTTAGATCACAACCAAAGTTTTTGACCATTGTCATGTTTGAAGGACAGCCATCCAATGTAAGACTAACGACTTTAATACCAGTTGAATGAATTTGCTCTAAGCATTGTTCAACAAGATTACCTTTTTGCATACTTGATAAATGATCACATAAAAAATAAGCAACAGGTAACTTCCATGATTCAGTTATAGAAACTAATAAAAAAACCAGACATTCTGTTGCCATTTCTAAACTTTCATTATTTAATTGTGTACCAAAGTCTACATATCCATGGTATTTATAACCGTCCCATTCGACATGTTTTCTTATTGCTACTTCGTCCATTATCAATGCACAGTAAACGGGGTTAGCTGTATTATCACATTTTAACTTCAATGTATTTAATGCTTCTTTACAGATGCCTGGTTCAGCATTAACACTTGCGTGGATGGGGTAAAACTGAGTTAAATTGTTCTCTTATAAATGAGTATGCACGAGGCGAAAAAAAGTGTAATGATATAGAAAATCGTCTCAAGTCAGAACTATATTTTCGTGTCATTTTTTTATTGTTGTATTTTTTATCTAACCGTTGTATTAATTCTTTATTTTTACCAAAAGAATCAAATAATACATTACCTTCATCTTGCTGTAATAAATTATTTTTGGTCAGTGTACTTATAATTTGTTTCATACTTACTATACGTTTTTTTTGTCTTCTAATTGACTGATTAAGAAGCTTGATCTTCTTTGCTTTAATTATATTTTCATGACATAATGTTCTAACTGTACGCTTTAAATATAAACGTTTTGGTGTATCATTTTCATCTACTGTAATATTTTCAAGGTATGACTTATTAGAATGCTTTTTTAAAATGGATTCTTCATTCTTTACTGGTGTACATTCATTGGAATTTGGCAACTCGTTTATTCCTTCAATGTGTGATGAGGATAAATCCTAAAATAACCAAACAAAATATTATAAAATTGGTACATCTTTTGAATAATATTTTCATGACATAATGTTCTTACTATACACTTAAAATATAAACGTTTTGGTGTATCATTTTCATCTACTGTAATATTTTCAAGGTATGACTTATTAGAATACTTTTTTAAAATGGATTCTTCATTCTTTACTGGTGTACATTCATTGGAATTTTGCAACTCGTTTATTCCTTCAATGTGTGATGAGGATAAATCCTAAAATAAGCAAACAAAATATTATAAAATTGTTAAGTACATGTTTTGAATAATATAAATATAAAATAAATATTTTTTTTATATTAATTAATTTACCAGCACAATGTATTTATATAATCTATGAGTTGGATTATTCAAAATTATTAAATACATGTTAAATATGAATTCAAGTTTATTTTATTTTTTGTAAGTTTTAAAAAAAAATATATAATTGTACAATTACTACAGTGTATTTAATTTAATTATTATTTATTATATATTATAAAAATTATTTTAACTTAACATTTTAATTTTCAAAATAACTGGAATAAGATAAATTTGTTACAATGGTTTTTTTTAAATAGTAATTTTTTAAGTAAATAACAAACAATTGTTACATAAGTTAAATTTTTTTAAAAAAATAATATTTTTAATTAGCTTAAACTTTTATCTTAATACTAATTATTTACCTTGTCTGTTATTTTGTTATTATACAACATCTCAGAATAATCATCTTTTGCCTAAGAAACATTCACAATATATTAATATGTATAAACATTAAACAGTTAATCACCACTAAAACCAGCAATAATATAATTTATTAATTATATGTAAATCATAGAATCATTTTTTTTACAAAAAAAATTTGAATACTCATATTATAGACTACTTACATGTTTTACTCGGTGTACTACAATTGATGGAACAGAGTTTTCTTTCAAACGAACCGATTTTTTGTACACGTTGAACAAATGTTTTTCAAAATGTAGTGAACACACAAGACTACTTTTGTTAAACTGGGACTGAATAAAACCGTGTTCTTTTTGTCCAAAATTCAACCATAGTGTTGAAATACTAGCTTTTCTTGGCACTCTTACATTTAAAACAGTAATAAAATAGTATATAATTGTATTTTAATTTAATACAACTTACATAGTTAACCTAAATAAAATAAAATATTCCTACATACCTGTGAAAAGTTATATTCTTTTTAATTGAATTTGCGTTGTAGGATCTACCACAGAAAATACAGCTTACCATTTTTAATACAGTGACGGTTTATCCCGTTACAGTATAATTATGTAAATAATACGTATATAATATAATAGTATAAATAATAGTATATACGTATAAATAATACTATAATAGTAAATACTATTATAATATGTTATGGTAGGGTAGTAATTTTTGGTGAGGAAATTATCAGTACTATCAATTCTTAAATTATTGTAACACACCAGCATCTTAGGTTTGTTCTTAAAATAGTTTCTGAGTAGAAAGTATTATAACATATTCAAAATATTAAATTGGTGGGATTTACGAAAAGTTGAAAATTAGCGCTATCTATCTAGCGCTAATTAGAAACCAAATCCGACATGTTTTGCTTCACATAATTCATAATACTTATTCTGATAGGGCATCTCTATATACTCTATGATTTAGAATAAAATATTATATCTTTCTTTGTTGTATACACTATATATCTTATACGTTCTCTTGGTATATATTTGTAATTTATAACTGTACTATGTATCTAAGTTTGTAATTTTGTCATTCCTATGACATTATGTATTATTATTAGCGTGCTTGCACTTAAAATATTGTAAAGGACTTGCATCCGTTTATATATAAAATAAAATATTATACTAGCCTTTTCTATACAAGAAAAAATTTTCAAACAATTTTGACTTGTTTGGACTGTTTACTGATATACTCAGTTTCGAACTTTTTTAGGTTTTTTTTCTAAGAATGTCAATAAAACTGTATTTGTTAGGTTAAAAAGCTTGAAAATGTAATACAAAGCTCCGATTATGTTGTTATAATGACGTTTGAAAAATATTAAAAATCGTGTCACAGTTTTTTGTTGTTATATACATTTAAAGTTCAAATATTGACAAAATACTGAAAAAACACAAAACCTTGCAAATTATTTTTAGCTAGAAAGTACTTCTCATAAAAAAAATATCTATGAATTCTCAACTAATTAACTTGCCTCAACCAAATAATTTGCTAATTTTCGTGATTTTTCAGCATTTTGTCAAGATTTGAACTTTAAATGCTTATAAATATTAACTGTGACTGAGGATTTTTAATATTTTCTAAATGTCATTGTAACAATATAGTAGGATTTTCAAGTATTTTTACTCAACAAATAATGTTTAATTGACATTCATATTAACATTCGATATTGACAAAAACCGATTTTGCGTAAAAATTCTCGGTTTTCCTTATTTTTAGATTCTGAGTGGAACAATGAATGTATTGATTTTACAATGAGGTGTGTTTTTTTTTTTTTTTTTTGTGAGTGTACACGATAAATAGTCGAAATAATGCTTCGATTTTCAACTTCAATATCTTGTTCGATTTAAAAGTGAATATCGTTGGTGCATTGGGGAGGTCAAAATTTAAAATTCCCATTAATTTTCAAAAGCGCCAAGAAAAACAAAAGAAAAATTAAGGGAAAACGGGAATTTTTACGCAAAATCGAATTTTCAGAAAATTGAATTTGGTATTTGGTATAACTTTAAAACAAATGAACGTATATACATGAAATTTTCAGTGGTTGCTTATATTCACATTTTCTATACACGATAACATTTTCAAAATATTTTGATTTATTTTGAACTGTTTAGGGATATTTTCAGTTTCCAATTTTATTAGTTTTTTTTTATGAATATCAATAAAAATTTATTTGTAGAGTAAAAATACTTGAAAATTTGATACAAGGCTCCTACTATATTGTTTCAAAGACAGATGAAAAATATTAAAAATCGTTAGTCACAGTTTTTTTTTAAGCATTTAAAGTTCAAAAAATGACAAAATATGGAAAAATCACGAAAATTTGCAAATTATTTCGAGGTAGAAATTCATAAAAAATTTTTTTTTAAATCTAAGATATGAAAATGTAATACAAGATTCCTTATAAGATTTCATACATTTATCAAAAAAAAAAATTCTATAAGAAAGTCAAATTAAATTTTTATGAGCATTTGAAAAATTTGAAAATATTTTTTAGTTTTTTTTTCTATGAATATCAATAAAGTTTTATCTGTTGGGCCAAAAAGTGTAAAAAATTAACACAAGGCTCCTGATAATTTGTTACAATAGCAATTGAAAAATATTAAAAATACATAGGCACAATTTTTTTTTATAAGCATTTAAAGATCGCTTTTTGACAAAATTTATCAAAATCTCGAATATTATTAATCATCGTAATTAATAAATTATAAAATGTTCAGTTTTTATAGCTAAGGATTGAA